ACAGGGGAAGTTACCTTGGCATCAGCGTTTTGTTGCTTCCTCTTGAGGTAATCTCTCAAGTCTTCTTTGGTTCGTCCAGGAGCTCGGCTATCTCCTGATTTCAATCTTTTAGGTGCACTGCTCTCTGCTTCGTTGTGAGCCCTCTTCGACCTTTCTCTATTAGTTGTGTCGAAACACAACGCCTGCCCTTGAACATGCCGATGTTCTTTGGGGTCTGCTTCCTTGGTGCGATGCGTCCTCCGAGATTCCTCCCTCTTTGACTCTTCTCGCCCGACCTCCCTTGAAGGCCGGTGAGGGTGTATTTCGCTCCTGGTGTGCTGGAGGGCTATAGGGATTGGTTTCTGCCCTCCCTTCTGAGCATTGGCCGCTGGAATCGGCGTGTCCTGCAGCGGGAATGGTGGCTGCATGATGTTATTTTGCATCATAAAATTGACGACCGATTGCAGATCTGCATACTTGTTTGCCATCTCTTTCACCTCTTCGTCCCTCCGCAGGCATCTATCCTTCCATACCTGGAGGTCGTCCTCGTTATAGTATCCGCTTCGATCTGGTTTCTTTGGCACATCGCCATCCTAGCTGACGTCTTTCTTGCCGTGATTCTGGTTCTGAGTCTCCTCATTGCGACCATCTTCCTCCATCTTATGATCAATGTGCTTACCGTTCCCAGCAGGGGTTTCGTCCCCAACCTTATCCTTCTGTTCATCGCTGGCCATCTATTCTCCTTTCTTTCCCATAAACGGCGCCAAATTGTGTGTGTCAATTTCCGACCACACTGCCAACTTAGTATTCAGCTAGGGAGCACTGACAGAATAAATGGCGCCTGATTGACCTGCAACAGAAAGAGAAGATTCCGGCGGTGGTTCATCCACCCAGGGGCACTCCAACGATCAAGTCAGTTATCTCTCAAAGATAAATCAAGTGTTTAACTCACTATCCAGAATACAAATTGCGTACCTTAGACCCATCGGGGATGCCTCTCTTTTATAGTTAATTCAATCCTAGTCCCCATAGAAGCCTAGCTTCAATGGGCTTCTGCTCAGTGCTTATCCTGGACTCTCCAAGAGATAAAGATAAACTCCCTAAGAGTGTTATCCTTATTCATGCTGAAGTCCTTTCTCATTCTAGGACTCTTGTGCCTTATCCACTTGTCCCGGATTCCGATATCTTCGAAGGTAACCTCGGCCTAACCGAGATAACCTCGGTGTCATGACCAAGACACATGGCACCTCGGCTGACACGTCGGTGTCACCTTGACCACATGTTGGTACTCAGAAAATATATCCCCACTGCTAAACAAACAGAGCATCCCTGAGCTACACAAATCATTTTACATGAAGTGGAACTACACAAAGTTATATGTATTAGATCTCTAAAAATAAATAAATAAATAAATTATATGTATTAAACTAATGAATTTGAAGGATTTAATATATTCAGGTAGTTTAATGCTTTGGTGAATTCGCCTGTATCTGAGGAAAAGGTGAAGGAGCCACTTGTTAGTGACAAAAACATAAAAATGAGATGAGCCAACAACCATAGTTACCTTTTGTTAGTAATTTAGTTCATAATAATGATTTTAAACAAGAATATAATAATTATTTCTCGGTTTTTCAATAGGATGATCATTTTTTTTTTTAAATTGGTGAATGTAACTCCATTCTAAATGTGTATTCTTTTTTTTCTTTTTTCTTTCTTTTCTTTTCTTTTCTCCTTTTTTTTTTTTTTTTTGTATAAACATGAGACAGACTATTTTGACAAAATAATTATTTTAGTCTAGGTTTCATTCTAAATCGGTAAAAAAAAATTAAAAAAAATTATATATTAATAAAACATTCAATTGAATGATTGATTGTGGCAAGTGGCAACTTGGTTGGGGGGGGGGGGTGTTGGTTTGGGCAGACAAGTTGTTAGGGCTGAGTAAGGAATCCGTGAAATCCGTAATCCGATCCAGTCTAATCTAATCTAATAGGTTTGGATTGATTTTTTGAATCCGTGGTTCTATTCCGGATTGAACAATTAAAAATCCGTAATCCACAGATTGGTTCCGGATTGAATCTCACGGTTACGGATTGGAACCGATCCGAACCGTATACAAATAGTCTATATTTTTATTATACATCCTCCCCATAGTATCTTCTCTTATTCCATGTAAAACCTAAACTCAAACCTAAACCCGCATAATATCTTCTTTTGTAACTTTTGTTTGTTAGTTTTTAGTTTTAATTTGTAATGGTTTAAACACCTTATGGTGAAACCAATTTTCTTATAGTTGTTTAAATTCTAGAACAGTATGTCGCTATTATAGAAAGACATATTGCTATTGTTGAACTAATATAGCTCTATGTTTATGTTTTTATGAAATTAAAGTGTTATATATACATTTTTTTGTTATTTAATTATGTGAATCTGTGGTCCTAAACCGATCAAATCCGTGTTTAAATGGATTTGTTCGGATTGGTTCCATGATTTAAACGGATTGGATTGATTCTAATTTTTCAAGAACTGTAAATAACGGATTGATCCTGATTTTACTCCCAATCCAGTCCAATCCGGACCATGCTCACCCCTACAAGTTATCCAAATCCACTTGGTTTGGTTGTTGTTGTATTTTTATTTCTTTATTTATTTTATTGGTTGGTTGTTGTGGTAGTTGAAAGTATTCAAATATATAGTCTGTGTATGTACTTGCACAGTGTATAGTATTTGTAGTGCATGAAAAACCTTTTTTCTCATTTTTGGGTTGACAAGAGAGTTGTGAAATCTGTTTTACGCAAAGTCTTTTGTCAGTTTTCAGTGAAGTGTTCAATACTTCAAAGAAATCATTCTAGAACGCACTTCATCAACGAAATCATTCTCTAATGCTCTTTTTGTTTGTTGAAAATATATATATATATATATATATTGGTATTTTTTTGCATTTTATGTAATACAAAGTGAAAATCAACTGAAAATATATTTTATGGTTAACGAATAACAAACCTATTTAGATAAAAAATAATTTTTACTTAAAAAATGTGAAAAATATTTTGTGGAATACTAAACTCTTACTAATGTCATCACACTATCACCACACTCTTTCACCTACTACACCACTGTTAGCACGGCCAAGATCACCGGCGCCACCACGCCACCATCTCCACCTTCACCTCCACCTTCGTCCCACCACCACCATCACTTCCAAACATAGAAAAATATTTTTTAGAAATTTTTTTTTATAAAAAATATTTTTCACCCAAACAAACGGATGGAAATCATTTTCCAAAGTATGGCAAAACTATAGACCAAAAAAATTATTTTTACACACATATTAAAGTATGTACCCATTTCATTTCAGCATCATAAGATCACAATGGCACACATAAATTTCGGGTGAAAATATGGACTATAAAATTCATTTTTAATCAAATCAAAGCTGAGGACGAAATTAAATCAAATCAAAGCTGAGGACGAAATTAACTTGGGAAGAAGGGGACCTCATGGATAATGGCTGCATTCAGCTGTTATTTTTTGTCACATTTTTATTCTTAATTTTTAGGTAAGTTTTTGGGCATAATTTTTTAGGCGTCAAATAAGAACTACAAAATTCACTTTCACTCAAAGTTCAGGAAGAAACTTTGAAATGAAGGATGCTAGTGGAAAATGGACCAAATAAATAATTCACAGTCTCGCATTTTTTTCACCCTTTCCCCCATATAAATAAATATTTCTTGAAATGATTAGCTAAAATTGAGATTCTTGCTAGAGTACATAAATAAATAAAAAATAAAAAAATAGCTAAAATAGATATTGTATTATTTGTGTACTTTTGATTGCTAAAATAATTAGTGTTGGAGATGTTCTTACTATGCTATATTACAAACATTAATAACTATTTTAGCAACACTATCTTGGAGATGGTATTGGATTGTGTTTCATTTTTTAGAACTTTTCGATGTCTATTATAATTCCTTCCCATTTTGCTAAAATATGAGAAGAAGAAAAAAAAGAGAGGATAAATTATACTAAATTTGCATAATGATTAGCTAAAATTGAGATTCTTTCTAGAGTACATAAAAAAATAAAAAATAAAAAAAAATAGCTAAATAGATATTGTATTATTTGTGTACTTTTGATTGCTCAAATAATTATATTGTTGGAGATGTTCTTAGGCCTCGTTTGAGAACCCTCCCTTTTAGCCAAAAAGTTACCAAATTAGCCAAAAAACTAACAATCCATACTAAAAAGTCAAAGATTCTCTTTTCTCTATACTTTTTGCACATCTTTTCGTAAAAAGTCAAAAAATCATCCCAAACATACTAGTTTTCTTTAGCTCATATTTTAGTCAAATAGCCAAAAAATTACTAAATTAGCATGTTCCCAAACGAGGGCTTACTATTCTATATTACTAACATTAATAACTATTTTAGCAACACTATCTTGGAGATGGTATTGGATTGTGTTTCATTTTTTAGAACTTTTCGATGTCTATTATAATTCCTTCTCATTTTGCTAAAATATGAGAGGAAAAAAAGAGGATAAATTATACTAATTTTGCATAATGACATTGAGCTCCTTCAAGTTTTTAATTAACAAAACACTTACCCCTTTTTCGTCAATAATTCTTTAGACATACAGATAAAAAAGTGAATTGTCATCTCTTTTATATTGAAATGTATGTGTTATACCTTGTTTATTCCTATGTCTGCCCACTACCTCATTATTTTTAGTCTCCCCATAGCCTTATTAAGAGAAAAGCCAATATAATTATGCTAAATTTAAGAAAATTATTTTTTTCCCCCCTAAACTTCAAGAATGGCTAGTGTAATTTATCCGAAAAGGAATAGTAAATAATGAACATGTACAATCTAGAAAAATTAGGATTACAGTTGTTTGCTCATGCCACAAACCAAAACAAAGTGGAGGAAATAGAAGGATCATAAAACAATAACTAGTAACACCAAGCACAATAATGAGGTAATTTGAGATCATATCATATATGTAAAACACTAACAAACATAATATCAAGAATTCTTGAAACTTGATTAAAAGTTGAAACAAAATACAGTTTGGATATAGTCATATACGCATTATTGTTATTACTATTAAATTCAACAAGAAATTTGCAACTCATAGAACATTGCACAAACCAAGCTGTTCACTTTACAAAGCCAGTTTGGCTTAGAAAATTTCAATACCTGTTTCCTTCGAATTGTTGCCACATTTTGCATTTTATATACTGTATTTTGCACATACTCATCAAACCCAACCCCAAGCGAAGTCCTCTTTATAGCTCTATCCATTTTTTTGGGACACGATTTAGCATCTCATTGCTTATTTTATATATAATTCTACGTACACAGAATTCAACCATAGGAGAATATTTTATATACAATTCTACGTACACGGAATTCAACCATAGGAGAATAGGAAGAGCACTCGCATGAATGTTGCGCCTATTTTTAAATTCTGTAGTTGAATTCTGTGTACAAAACTTTTCCCTCACTCTGATTTCCAGTATCTGTGTCGTGCATTGAGCTATTTATCACATTCACAAGGGAAGAATTGAACTCGAGTTCCGGCTAAGCCTTGATAAAAACAACCTACCACCACATGAAAATGATCTCTTCATTGCAACAGGGCATTTGTGAAGAGATTGTGCAATTGAGGAACTACTCCTTGAATTTGTGCAATCTTGCTTTTCAACAAGACCCAAATCAGATTTTTGTGCATCCTCTCTTTGATCAATTGAATTTCCTTCCGATTCAACCACACAATGGTTAGCCATATTGAGACTGATAGTTGCATCCGAAGAAGAATCCATTGAAACAGACCGCCTCACCGGTTGTATCTCATCCTCCATAATCATATCATTATCTTCCAAAACACCAATTTCATTAGGATTCAACTTTCTCTCATCAACCATATGTTGTAATTCAACTTCATCCTCTGTTTCAGCCCTGTTTTCACAAACCTCACAATCACTAGCCCAATTGTTGGCCAATTCACCACCACTCTCTAAATTCTCCATCTGGGTACCTTCTTCACTATTCAAATTCAAAGAACTCTGGCCATTTGAAGCAGAAGAAGTACTTGTAATGTGCGATACAATACCGGCACGACAGAGTGGACAATTGGTGTGTGATCTCAACCAAGTGTCAATACAAGGAATGTGAAATCCATGATTACACTTGGGTAGTAGCCTAAGAGTCTCACCTTCCTGAAACTCATTCAAACAGACCGAACACTCTGTACCTTCGATCAAACGATCGACTTTCTTGTACTTAAAGATTGTGATCGAGTTAATGATCGATGGTTGGAGGCCAATAGTTGATATGTGCCAGACATGGTGATCAATTGGTGGTGGCCCATGGTTTTCTTCTAGGAACTCTTCATCTTGGCCGTCCGATGGGGTTGGTGGCGGTGGCCTAACCCGGTTCCAACCGGTGCAGTACTTGACGATGATTAAATAGTAGCTTACGAGAATGAAGAAGATGGCAAGAACAGAAACTATGACGATCACATATGGCGAGACTAGTTGGATTTCATCGGTTGAAAGTGGTGGCAGCGGCGGCGGCGGTGGTGGTGGTGGAGGAATGAAATAGAAGGTTGGATATGGGAAACAACCATAAGGACAGGTTTGGTCACAGAAATCTGGACACTGAGTTTGGTTAATGTCTGTTAAAAAAGGAAAGAGTTTTCTATGCTTCATGGCCTTGGAAGAGGGGATTGAGGGAGAGAGGGTTTGTGAATTTTCTGTTTGGAGAGAGAGAAAAGAAAAGAATCCAAGGACATGATAATGGTGAACTTGTGAGTCTGTATTTGTTGGGTTTTGTGCATTTCTTTGTGTATTGTCTGTATATTATGCTAGGAAGGTTTGTGGTCACAATCGTATAATTAATTGTATGTGGATGTACATTTGCTATTTGGGCAAAGAAGTCTCTCTTGCTGTGACTAGTCACAGCAGCCTCCTTGGCCCTATTGATTGATACATGATACACGACCTTAGCTATGACTAGTATTCAATAGGCCAAATGCCAAGAATGTCAAGGGGCATAGCAATGGAGTTGTGTGGTTCTATTCTGTTTTAAAGCTAGGAATAATTTTTTTGACATGGAACATAAGAAATGAAAAGGGATTCCCTCCCATTGGTAATTTTAATTAGAGGAGGGTGCTAGGGACACTTTGTTGGTCCATCATCGGATTCAATTTAATTATTTGAAACGTTCATTTTGTAAAAAATATCGAATAGAAAAAATAATCAAAACACACATGTTTTAAATAAATAAACAATTTAAGACAATTGTGATGCAATCATGTAATTACAATTATTCGATTTTTGTATGAATGAGCTGTTTTGAAGGCTTTATAAAATAAATAGATCTCCAGTTAGAATTCCCGATGAACAAAGAATCCCAACCCTGCAAAAGAATGTAAATTGCTTTCTTAGTAACAATAATACTATTCACACAAATAATCATAGAAATGTGCACAAATATTTAACGTGTGATTTATATTATTTACATTAAAATAAATTCAGATGACATAATAATTTAAGTGCACTTTTCTTTATACTTTTTCACATAACGTTTCTTTGAACCCAAATGCATTTTATTTGGACCATCATTCATCCAATTTAGTGCCTATGAGTCTTCAATTTTGAAATAAAAATTTTACAATAAATCACATTATTTTATATAAAAATTATATTTCGAGAACATTGCTCTATTGTACCATTTATGGTGCCTATGATCTCCTAGCATTCATTTTTATTCTAACACGGGCATTGATAAGATTTTATTTATTTATTTATTTTTTAAAGATGGGATGATAATAGTGATTTGGAACAATCCATTTATAATATATTTTGGTATTAAGTCAAATCAAGTGTATATTATATTGCAATTTTTAGTTAGGTTGTTGCATTAACAGCTAAGTCACACTCAGGATGGTCTATATGTATCCATCAGTGAAATAGACTTCTTATCTTCCAAGTTAATCCTACATCCACCTTTGTTGGGCTTCACCCTCCACTACATTTTTTTTTTAACTTTTCTTCTATTTTTCTTAGTAAAGACAAGTATGATAAACAAAATAAAATAATATTTATGAATTTAACATAATTACATGAGACTCTCATATGATTTTATTTATTTATTATTTTATTTTTGGTAAATTAAAACTTCATTAAAAATTAAGAATATATAGTTGTGGGGGTATTCAACCCGTCTGGTATATCTATACTTATTATATATTAAGTAAAATGGGGTTTTCAACCCCAAATCTTGTGAGAGCTCCAATCTCTCAATTTAAATTTTCTGATTTTTTAATTTAAAAAAAAAAATCTTAGCATTTATTGACTTTTCCTAACTCCCAAGTCTTACCCTCATAATAACACTTTAATGCATTAAAAACAAGCATAAAATAAATTCTTTAAAATCCAATACATATGAATTCCTTGAAAAGTCCCAACACATATGATTATTATTCCTCATAATAATACTTTAATGCATTAAGAATAAGCATAAATTTTTTTTTTTGAAAAGTCCAACACATATGATTATTATCAAAATATTAAACTTTAATATAATATAAAAAAGGAAAAAAAAAAGACATTTAAAAAAAATATTTAAAAATCACAATTCACATATATAAATAATTACAAATACAATCCATACATAGCACGGGTAATATGCTAGCTAGTTGTGAAATGGTGGTATGCTAGTTGTGAAAATCTGCAGTACATCAATCATACAACTTCGTTTGGTTAACTCACATAGTAATTAACTCTATTTTCTTTAATAATTCCCTAATTATATGAATTAAAAAATAAATAAATAAATAAACTGACTGAAAAAGTCCTATTACAAAGATGCGTACATCAATAAATTGCTTTTGACTGTTTAGTGCATTAAAAAGTCATATTAACTTTAAATTGTTACCACAAAATTATATTTTTAAATTTTTTAGTAACGTTTTTATAAATAAAAAAAAAAAAACAGTGTCACTAACTATTAATTTTTAGTAATAGATGAAAAAATTTTCATAAAAAATGTCATTAATTATCATTTTTTTAGGAGCAGATTTAAAAGGTTGTCACAAAAAAAGAAAAAGGTCAATAATTATCAATTTTTTGTAACAAATTTAGAAAATTGTTACAGAAAAATATCACTGACACTTGTAAGACTTTTTGATACATACAAATACTTATGAGATTTAATGGTGAACAATTTCTTATAACAGGACCTGTGAGTAATTACCTCATTAAAAAAATGATATTGTCATCTTTTTAAACTAAAATTCATATTTTATTTTGTTCATTCTTGTGTTTTCATACCAGCTACATTAGTTTTGATAGTTTTAGTCTTTCTAAAAAAAGTGGTCATTGTAATTATGTTAAACTTGTAAAGTTTATTATTCGAAAATAATAATGTTATCAGTTATGCTATGGTACACATAGGGGTGGGCACGCCCCCGCTCAGCCCTATTTTTGTATGGTTTAGGACGAATCTGTTCAAAATTTGAATAGATAATAAAATTTGGGCAAATCTGTTTGAATAGATTAAAAAATGATTTCAACATATAAGAATTTTGAACAAATAATTTTCACATATAGAAATTTTGAACATATAAGGTCTGATTGAAGATTGTTTGTTAGAAAAATTTGCAGATAGATTTAAATAGATAAGGAAAAATTGAACAAATAATAAAATTTTAACAGATATTTCAATAGATAAGGGGGAAAATTGAATAGATAGCTAAAAAATTTGATATAAATTTGAACAGATAGTCAAAAAAAAGTTAACAGATAAATTAAGGGATAAAATTATAAATAAAATGTCATTCAAAACCAACAAAAGGATTTCTCATCAAATTAGTACACAAATGGTGAACTTCTCACTAACAAAAAAATTCAATGGACCTAATGCTTTATATTAGGGCTGGCTATAGGATTATCCAAATCGCATAACCCGTCCAACCCGAACCGATCCGTATACAAATGAGCGGTTTCGCAGACACAATGCACGCGGATACGGTTTGGAATATAGCATTATTGTGGGTTGAGGGTTTTACCCGCACCCGTAAGAACCCGCCCACACTTAAAACTCTTTTTTATTTTTTTACTGTTTATGATGGAATTTGTGAGTTTGCAAATGTTTTCATTTTATTTAATGAGTTTGAATTGGATGAAATTTGATAATAATTTATTGTTATTTTATTATTATATTTTGGATGAATGTAAAAGTTAATGAATACTTTTAGGTAAGTTTAGGATTTTGAATAATTTTACTTTAATTGTATTGTTGGATAGTAAATGATTTTGATGATTTAGTTTAGGATTTTGAAAGTTATGCTTGTGTTAGTTTATGATTTTATTTAAAAATTTAGGATTTTGAATGATTTACTTGTATTAAGATTTGGTTTTGTTGTGTTTTTAATTTTATAAGTTTTAATTCATTAATTATTAATGTTGAAAATGAGAGGAAAAGGCCCAAAATAAATATTTACAAACAAGGGAAAAATAAAAGGCCCAAAAATAAATTTGTAAAGGAAAAAGTCCAAACTGCCCGAACATCCACAAATCCTATATGCACAAACCGCAATCCGCACTGCGAACGGTTGCGGGTTCAATTTTTTTTAAACTGAACATATGCGGGCGGGTCCGAATCGAAAATCGAACCGTCCAAAATCGAACCGCGAGCACCCCTATTTTATACCTTCATTAGATAGGACTTTTCAAAAAATATTTCTTGAATTTAATATTAATTATTTCGAGGACTTACATGCAAGTCCTATTAAGTAAACTTGTTATCCAATAGGTCCTATAATAATAAATGGTATTTTTCATCATACAATATTAAAAAACGGCACTAATTGTTAATTTTTAACAATAGTTTGAAAATTGTCACAAAAAATGTCACTAATTATAAGTTTTAGAGACAATTTAAAAAAATATCACAGAAAAATGTCACTAATTGTATGCTTTAGAAATATAAAAATCGTGACAAAAAAGTCACTAATTGTCAATTTTTAACGACATATATAAAAAATCGTCACAAAAAATTTATTTTAGCAATGATTATATTAGGACTTATTTTTAATAGAATTTATGATAATTAAGTTCAACTGTTAAGACCTATTGATAATTTATCCTAATTTTTTTCAAAAAATTCTACTTATAGTCCCTTATCCAAAAACAAATATGGAATACAACAAAAATAAATATTAAATACAACAGCGACACTTACATGGTGTCACAATTTAATAAAGGAAAATTATACATCAGGGTATCTTTTTAAAAATATTCAAATCAATAGAAAATTTTATGCATATTAATAATTAAATTTATAAACATTTTTGTTAATAAGATATTGAGATATTGGGAAATAAAATGGGATGAAGGAAACATAATATTGGGAACCCAAGAAAACGTCCATTCATAATTATTTTGTAAAATTTCCACTTGTATGTAATTTTCTCATTTAATTTTAATTGGAGCAGAGATGGGTCCCACGTCACCTCTTATTCCCCGATCAAGTGTAGAAATGACAACGAGCCGGGAATTGGCTGGAGATCACACTCGCCGTCCCT